AAATAAAATCTTAAAAAAAGAACGCGTGGGAAAATGGATAGGACGAGGTAAGATTCAGGGTAGATGGTTTTATGAGCTAGGAGTGCAAATCGCTCGCCCTTTGGAGATGGTATGATGGACAATGCCAGAGAGGGTAGGCAAAGTATAGTAGGAACATGTACTTAAACCACCGTTAGGCAAAAGAACAGGACAGTTCTCTCATTTTCTCGTTTGTTTTTCTAGTGATCTTGAGAAATAAGAACTGGCTTTAGGTGAGACCTGAACTTTTTATTGGCCAATCCATACTGAGAGTGGAATCACTTGTTCGTTTTGTGGGTATGGAAATCCCTGACATGGGTCAACTTGTGGTTCTTGTTCTTAGGGATAAAGTGGCTGTTCTTCAAGCACTTGCGTCCACAGTGAATAGGGTAAGTAGGAATTTTAGGGTTTTGTTGTGGGTCTTGAAAGTTTCTTAGAAATGATCTAATCCAGTCCCTTCATGTGACAAATGGGGAAACTAAGCTTTTAAAGGAACTGGCTCTGAAAGTCCTTGACTTAGGTCCAAGTCTTATCTTCAAAATCTTTTTTTTTTTTTTTGGCTAGGGTGTGATATTGTAATGCAAGTGATCTGTAGACCAACTTTGAGAAGTACTGTATCTACCATGCTATAAATTATGCAAGAATGTGGGTCCTGGAGCCAGTGTTTCGTTTCATAGCTGAGCAACTAGCTTTGTGATCTGCATCAAAAAGTTATTTTATCTCTTGACGTTTCTATGTGTTTATCTATAAAGTGGGATTAATTATAGCATCAGACTTCAAGGTTATAGTGAGAATTAGTATATAATTAAGGGATTTAGGGCAGTGCCTAGCACAAAAGAAATGCTCCTTAAATGCTGGCTATTTTATTATTACTGCAACCATTTTAGTGAGATATTTGTCAATAACTTGCTCTGTTGACAATTCAAAAACAGTTTGTAGTCTGATAGATAAACTGAAACCTTGGTAAATGCCTCAGAAATGGAACTTTTTTTTTCTTTTAAGTAATCTCAGCACCCAGCGTGAGGCTCACACTCACAACCCTGAGATCAGGAGTCGCATGCTCTACTGACTGAGCCAGCCAGGTGCCCCAGAAATGGAACTTTCTGACTGATTATATTTTTCGTTCTATGAAAACTATACTTTTAATTTCAACTATGGGGATAATGTCTAAGATAATGAAGACATCAACTGCTGCAATATCTGCATGGATACTAAGCCTCTTTAAGGCCGTTGTCACAGATTTACAGAGTTGTTTTCTATTGTAGATGTTAAACTTAAGGAGTATTGGGCCAAATATACCCCGATACATCCTAACAGTTTCTCAGAAGGGGTTTTTATAATCATCTCCATGCTAGCAAGACATTGAGATTTTCAGCAGTTCACGTATCTCTAAATAGGCACCTGCAATGTAAACTGGAGTAATGGTCCTCTGAGACTGATCTCAGTTTTTTAATGAGAATGGCCTTCAAATCAAAGAAGTTGTAGAATTATGTGTGCAGTTGTCTGATTTGTCTAGGTTTGGGCCCTTAAAATCCAAGGTATAGTCACTTATTCATTCAGTAACCATATATTCTACCCTTCTGATGCTTACCAGGCACTGTGCGGGATGTAGAATAAACTCAGCCCTTGCACAGTTCCTAGAGAGGGAGCAGGAGGGAGCACTGAGAAGAGGGTACGGAACCCAGGCTGGGGAAGGACTTCCAGAGGAGCTGATAATTGGATTGCTGCTAGGAAGGTGAGCAGCAAGGATACTGTGGTGGGAAAGAGCATTCCTAGCAAAGGCAGCACCATGCGCAGAGGCACAAAGGCCCAGAATGCATAGTTGGTATGGTAGGAATGAAGGATTTGAAGGGTGGAGAAATGAGAAATAGGCAAGATGATGAATGCTATGCTGGGGACTCAAGTCCTCTGAAGAGTTTTAAGCAGTGGTATAATAACCAGATTTTAGAAAAGACAGGCCTGTGGAGATGGGAAACCTTTCAACTTTAATGTAGCATAAAGATCCTAAAACTAGCATGTCCAGACCCAAACCTTTGCTATCTCCTCAACAGCAGCTCCATTATTCTGATTGCTTGAGTCAAAACCCTAGGAGTTACCTGTGAGTCATCTTTCTCTTATGTTGCATGTTAGTAAATCCTTTGTTTCTTCCTTCAAGATACATGTGTATGGAGTCCCAAGACCACTCCCTGGTTCAGTGATTGGCTAGGAGGACTTCCAGGACTCAGCATATAGTCCTACAGCTATGATTTATTATAGAAAAAGGATACAAAGCAAAGTCGACTAAGGGAAAAGGCACATGGGGTGAAATCCAGAAGAAACCAGGTGCAAGTTTCCAGGAGTCCTTTCCCAGTGGAGTCACAAAGGACACGTTTAATTCCTCTAGCCGAGTTGTGACAGCACGTGTGAAACATCTGCCACAAAAACTCATTAGAAACTCAGGGCCCAGAGGTTTTTTGGTGTCTGGCCACATAGGCACCCTGTGCCTGGCACATATCAGAATTCCAGACTTTCAGAAGGAAGGCAGGAGTTCACTGTAAGCCACATTTGCACAAACAGTTTAGGCACAGTGAGCCGATCTCCTCAGTACTGGGGATGGTGGGAACCCTCCCAAATCCAGGTTTCCAGGTGCCAGCCAAGGGCCAGCCTTGCAAGCAGACCTTTCTAAGGACGGCAGTCACAGGCCTGGTAACTCTTTCTACACATTATCAGATTTTAAATTCTTGTCGTCATCACCGTGACGGCTTTAGTCATCTAAGTCATCGTCATCATCTCTTACTGCCCTGGACTGATCACAGCTCTCTCTTCCACTGCCCAAGCTCCCCACAGACTGCTCGCAGTTAGGCAGCCCTAATGATCCCAGTAAAATATTGGATCACATCACTCCTTCCTGAGAACTCAAGTGGCCTCTCATTTGTCATAATTGGGGTAAAAACTGAAGTCCATATGAGGGCTCCTAAGGCCCTCCCATGATCCTCCCCACCCCCACATTACCTCTCTGACAGCGTCTCTTGCTGTCTTCCCGGGCACCCTACCCAAGCCTGGCTAATTCTGTTTCCCAGCAGGCACACCTCTGTCTCAGGGTCTAGGGTTTGCTGTTCGTTCTGCCTGGACTGTTTCCCCTGAGATACTCACATTACTTGATCCCTCACCTGCTTAGCTCCTTGCCTCAGTGTCACTTTTACAGTGAGGCCTTCCCTGACCATCCCACTTAGGTTGTAGATCTGCTACTTTCTTGTCCCTTTTTCTATTTCATTTTTCTGCATAGCAGTTAACTGTTTTTAATTAACTATATATTGTTTATTTTTATTTTCTGTAGGTCCCCCCCCCCACTAGACTGTAAGCTTTATTGGGGTGGGGGGTGATCTTATTGTCTCCCTTATAGCTAGAAAAATGCCTGGCACAAAGGTGCTTTATAAATAATGAATAGGAAGGCACTGAACTATGGCCATGGCAGTTGGGATAAGGGATAGTGGAGTCGGTAGGGGAAGTTAAGGAGCTAGCGATGGTTGGGTCTGATGATAGCTCAGTTGAATGGAAGTAGTGGGACAGGATCTACAGGTTGGACTGCAGAGTGGTCAGTACCATTCACTGAGAGAAGGCAGGACAGGTAGTAGCTTCAGGAAAGTTCACTTTGGGGTTCCGTTTGGTTCGAGGCATCTGAGCTCCGGGGCCAGAGTGGAGTTGTTCCACACAGACTGTGGAGGACTTGGAAATCATGGAGGGAGGGGAAATGGGAGATAAATAGGAAGAATAAGTCTAGTAAGTTACAAGAAGTCCAGCATGTCACCAAAACTAGAGGCCCTAAACAGGTGTCTAACAAGGGTGGTGCAGAGGATCAGAACCAGAGCCAGGCACTAGTTTGTAATCAAGGAATGAGTAGTCCGGGGCAACTAACCTAGAACTGCCACCTCTGGTTTACCATTACATGACTGCCTCATTTAGTAGAGTGACATGACTGGATGAAATGAGCCTCCCATGACTATGAAGGGATATGGGTTTTGAAAGTGGCAGCAGGAGGCTGAGACCCACCCCCCCCCCCCAAAAAAAATCCTACCTCCAGGCCTTAGGTATGAGCAGCCTTCCCTTGAGAGTTGCAGGGAAGCTGTCCCTTGGAGAGTCCAAGTGAGTAAGACATGGCATGAAGGGGACAGTCAGGAGAGATTCTGGATATAGGGTGAGTTTTTCCTATGGAACAAAGGTCCCAGAAGGCCCAGGAAAGGCGGTTCCAAGGGAGAAGAGAGGAATAGAGGAAGTAATTGGGGGGCAGGTTTTCAGTGGTACTGAAGAGTTTTGTTCAGGGTTCTCCTCTTAGAACAGTGTGAAAAAGTGTATAGAACCTCCGGCAACAGGACGCAGGAGCAGCTGCTGTTTGCTCCTTCCCAGAGGGCACAAGCGTATCCTCCGTTTGGAGGAGGGATTCTTGGGTGGGTAGTGGCCAGGCTTTGAAGGAATGCAGGACACTGATGCCCATACTAGTTAATTCAGAGGATCTTTTGTTTAAAACATCAGTAGTTCCTGGTAGCACCCTCAGATCTTAAGAAGCAGTCATGGGGGTTTGAGCCATTGTTTGCTTCGTGTGTAATGACAGAGCTGAGAGTGGGGTATCGGTATTGGTGTTTCTTTCACTATACACACCTTTCTGTATGTGTTACATATGTAATTAAAACTTACTTTACAGAGCTTTTGGTCATCAAAACTCAAGATCTTAGTGAAAATCTAACTAAAGAGATTTCTCTGTCTTCATAGGACATCACAGCTGCCCCTTACGCATTTCAGGATGACCCTTACCTCATACCAACATCCTCTGTGGAATCTGTGAGTGTTCTCCTGGAGTTTTTTTTTTTTAAAGATTTTGTTTATTTGAGAGAGAGAGTGAGAGAGAGAAAGAGCACAAGAGGGGGGAGTGGGAGAGGGAGAAGCAGACTCCCTGCCGAGCAGGGAGCCCGATGTGGGACTCGATCCCGGGACTCCAGGATCATGACCTGAGCCGAAGGCAGTCGCTTAACCAACTGAGCCACCCAGGCGCCCCTCCTGGAGTTTTTCTAGCGTTATATTTTATCTTGCTTGTTTGGGTGCAAACACGGATATAGAATTTAGCTTCGGTGTAAAAACCTTTGAAAAGGTAACAGTTTCAAAGCTTTAGAGATTGGCTGTGGAAGGGATTTGGGATTTAATACGTAAGGCTCTGACACTGGAGCAGTCCACTCGGTTTCAGTGCACTGGTTTTATGTACCCCAAGCTGTATATAAGATGTGACCTAAAATGTTAACACTCAGTAGCAGAGGCGGATATATAACATGTGTAATTTAACTTCTAATTGGTTTTCTATGTATTGTTGCATTCTTTGAGGGGGAGGCTTGCTGAGGGTATAATTTTCATCTCTTGAGTCAGTTTAAATCTTTTTCTTTATATAGCGTTCATTTTTATTGGCGAAGAAGTCTGGGGAGAATGCAGCAAAGTTTATTATTAATTCCCATCCGAAGTATTTTCAGAAGGACATAGCTGAACCTCATATACCGGTAAGGAGAGATAATAGTGATTTTTCGGGTATTACTACGTAAATGTAAATTAAACCACGTTTTCATGGCTAATATTTCAGTAGCCACTTGAATGTCCTCAGTATTGGGTGAAGTCTTTTGATGTGTATAGTTATCTTTGCTTGCACTAGTAACTTTTTTTTCTTTTTTTTTTTTTAACTCCTGTCTGTATTTGCTCCTCATCCTGTTTGCCCTATTTGGCTTCTGTGACACCAGAATCTTAGGTCTTTACCTCTGTGACTGTTCTTTTCAGTTTTCTTCAGTAGCTTTTCTATCCACCCCTTGAATGTGGAGGTCTTGGCCCAGATCCCTCTACTTTGATAGTCCAGTGTCCTGGTTTCTCTTTAGAGTGTGTCACCCCTTCTGCCTTTTGCTTTGAACTCCAAATTGTATTTCCAACTACCTCTGCGTCCTGTAGTCATGAAGCGTGAATGTCGTGCGCACGCGGCGTGTCAGCCATCGCGCTCAGCGCCGGTGTTACGGGGGTCAGCGGAACAGAGGCACCTCTGCCCTCCGGGGTTTATTAGTGGAGATAGTAACCTCAGGCTCGTGTCCCAGACTCCTTTCTTCCTGAAAGGCATGCACCCAGGCACAGCCTCCTCAAGCAGCAGCTCTCAGTGACAAAGTAGGAGGTCATTGTGATTGTGCAGGTGACAGTGCCCGAGTCCCATGTGGGGACAGTGGCAGTGATAGCCCACCCGAGCCCTTGGATGTTTCTGATTAGCAGTTACTCTTCTGTGCTAATGAGCTCACTTCTGCTTGACGCCTTCCATGGGTCCCTGCCTCCCTGGCAGACAGCACTGTCACACCTTCCAGATCTCTCGTCGTTTACATTCACGCTGTGCTGTGATTCTTTCCTTCCTTGCTCTCTCCGTTAGATGCGGAGAACCCTGAAGGTAGAGAAGGGCTTTGATCTGTGCCTCCAGTGCCTCGCTTCGTGCCTGGCAGAAAATGGCATTCAATAAGTATTGAAATAAACGAGTGAGGTGAAATCAGCCTACCTTGGTGATGGTCAATGTTTTTAGAGTAAAAGAAGCATCAGGGCTGAAAGGGTTCTGCCTGTGCAAACCAGGTATCCTCTTGACACTTTGAAACAAGATTGGAAGGAAAGGAGAAAGGATAGTTTTCGGCAGGGGATGAGACAAATTCAACTTGAGGGTGGGGAAGTTAGTTGGAAACCGGATTCTTTGGATATGAATTAAATATTTATTTATTTTGGGGTGCTTTTAAATTCTCCCTGAGCTAGGAGATAGTTAATTGATCTTGTTTTGGATCCTGGAGGGGTTCTTCGATTTTTTTTTTTCTTTTTTTTTTTTCTAGTTCCTGCAGAGATGTACACGTGGTGCCTGGTGCATGAAACATGAATTGGGACAGTGAAGTTTTATTTTCGTGTGTTGGTGATAAAAGTTTAGTCCTGCTCCCTTTTACCTGTTTGTGGTAACTAGCCATTTTCTTTTCCTAGTGTTTAATGCCTGAGTACTTTGAACCTCAGATTGAAGATATAAGTGAAGCAGCCTTGAGGGAAAGAATCAAACTCAAAAAAGTCAAAGCTTCTGTGGACATGTTTGATCAACTTTTGCAAGCAGGTGACTCAGTTCATTTAAAGCACTCCTAAGAACGTGGGCTCGGAAGTGGGCTGTGGTTACGTGATCCTGCTGGTTGTGAGCAAAGGTTACAAGGATCTCTACTTGATGCGGTGTTCATGCTTTTAACAGTTAATAATATTTCAAGTTCTGCTTCAGCTTTCCTTTCAAAGTATAAGTGAAATAAGTGAGATGGAGTTGCAACTTAGTTTACTGTGCTCTTGGGCTGTATTGTGCAGCAGATAGAGAAATTATAGAGCCATTCTTCCTTGGCTTCCATTTTTAACGTTAGGCGTGTACATAACTGTATTCAGATTTCTTATACTCTTTAAATATGTTTGGAGACATAGACAAGAGAGGAATATTTAAAAAGGAAAAAGCACTGAGCTGGGATACTGATTCTAACTCTAACACTGATTAGCTCTGTGGCCTTGGGAAAAAAATCACTTAATTTCTCAGAATTTCTGTCTCTCATTCTCTGGCTCTCTGACTTTGATCTGGATGACCCTCTAGCAGAATAGGTCTAAACTGCATGGCTTGTCAACTGCCAGGGGACGAGTGTACCTGTAGTGACATCAAAGGCAGCAGGATTGTAAGTTAGTGGACTCCAGAGTGCTGTTCCGTGACTTAGGATAGCAAGCAGTCAAACACAGAAGAGATAGGAACTGGACGGAATCACTCCGTGTATTCTCGAACACAAGAAACCTTTACAGAAAGCTGTATCTGATTGGAGAATTTTGGTGTGTTGTCTGCTGTGGCATTGGATATGCAGATGAATTGCTGACGCACGTTATAACTGAGGGAGGCTTTTGCCTCTGCTCATTGACTATGGTAAACACTAAGACTGCATTCAAGCACTTCGTGCTCAGACCGGTCTTGCTCTAGCTTCATGCACTGTGCTGTAGGCGCATGCAGACATTCAGCGAGCGGTTCTAAAGACGGCGTGTCAGACCCGCAGCTCGGAGTCACAGAACAAGCCGATACGCCGTGGGGGGGTTGGAGGAAGTTTTACTGTCAAGCCCCTAATAAGTACCAATTTGCTTGACATTTCACTTACTTAATTTAATTCTATTATGTGCTGTGTTTTATAATCATTTTATAAAGGAAGCTGGTTATTAAGTAAGTTTCCAGGGATACACAGTTCTGAGAGTAAGATCAGCCAGTCCAGTTTCCCTCCACAGCCTCTCTTCTCTCCACTCTGCCGTGCTCTTTTCTGAGATTTTAAATTTCCTGATTGGCATTTTTATTAGTATATTTTCTTTAGAAAAAATAATACTTCCCGTTCCCTTTTTTCCCCTAGTGTCAAGACGGGAACATAATGTTTTTGAGTATCACTTTTTTTTTTTTTTTAAGATTTTATTTATTAATTAGCACAAGCAGGGGTATGGCAGGCAGAGGCAGAGGAAGAAGCAGGTTCCGCAGAGCAGGGGGAACCCGATGTGGGGCTTGATCCCAGGACCCCGGGATCATGACCTGAGCCGAAGGCAGCCAACTGAGCCACCCAGGCGCCGAGTATCACTTTTTTAAAAGCTACGATAATTAGACATTTATGCTAGTATTTCTAGGCAAGCGTTCCAATGAGAGCCTGGATCCAAGTGGAATAGTTCTGCTTGCATTTGTTAAAAAATGGAACTGGGCCAGGGGAACTAAGTGGCAGTAATTTGCAGAGTGTTCAGTTTGGAAACAGTAGTTAAAACCTTGAGATCGTTTCTCTGGGGACATGAGTATGTAAAATAAGTGAGCACAGGGTCAGGCATTGTCTTGTGCTTTAGTCCCTCCTGTCAGACCCCATGGTTAGTAGGGATTGTGTCCCTGTCTGCATTCCTCCAAGTTGATGTGGAGTGCGTACTCATCCATTCTTAGAATAGTTCATGACACTAAATACGAGCCAAGAAAGCCACAGTTTGTAGAAGAAGTGAAGAATTTTAATCCAGTGAGCTTCAGTTCTTTAATGTTTCAATGTTTCTTTCCCTTTTTTTCTCCTACCCACAGGAACCACCGTATCTTTGGAAACAAGTAATAGTCTCTTGGATTTGTTGTGTTACTATGGTGACAAGGAGCCCTCATCTGATTATCATTTTCAGAAAAGTGAAAAATCAGAAGAGTTGGTAATGGATTTTGGCAGTGATTTTTTTAAAATTTCTTTTGATAGTAATAACCATTTCAACATAAGGCGGGTTCTTACGCCATATGTTAGGGTAGTAGAGATTTGTTCTGAGACGTGATATGGTATAGTAGCTTTGATAAAAAGTGGTTTGGAGGAGGGCGCCTGGGTGGCTCAGTTGGTTAAGCGACTGCCTTCGGCTCAGGTCATGATCCTGGAGTCCCTGGATCAAGTCCCGCATTGGGCTCCCTGCTCGGCAGGGAGTCTGCTTCTCCCTCTGACCTTCCCCCCTCTCATGCTCTCTCTCTATCTCATTGTCTCTCAAATGAATAAATAAAATCTTTAAAAAAAAAAAAAGTGGTTTGGAGGAAGAAAGATTAAAACAATTATTTTAATTCTGGTTTCCTTCTTAAAAATATTTTGACCTTGCCTACCACATGCAGGCAAAGCTTTGACCAGAAATGTTTAGGCAAATTCTTCTGTTGTTGTTACTTACAGTGACCATATGATGTGTAAGGAACAGGGAAAGACTCCAGGGCCCCAGCCCCCCCAAAAAATGCATACGTAACATGGGCAGAGAGGAGTGAGCACAATGCTGGGGGTGCAGAGCGGTACTGTGCCAAGGGCTGGCCTGAAGATAGGGAGTCCTATCTTAATTTCTCAACCCAAGAGTTTTATTTCTAGAAAAAGATCCCAAGGACATCTTTAGGTCATGTGAACAAAGATTATATACATCATTTTTATAATATTCATACGCGTAGTTACAAAAATGTGGAAAACTGGATGTCCAGTGGCATGTCATTGGATTATGGTAATGTGGTGATGGTGTAGTGTAGGTCTATTTGGCTGTGGAAAGATGCACCATATATTGATAAATGAGAAGATAGGCAGACAATATTTCATTTTTTTGAAATACTTTCATATGCATGAGGGAAAATGAAAAGTGCTTTTCCTTCCGTTTATATCTAATTTTCCTCCACTAAATATGAAGTATTTACGTACAGAGTAATTAAGTCTTTTAAAATGAATAGGCATCTACGTTATTTCTCTGTGGATCAAGCTAGATAGAACCAGCTCAAGCCAGGCTGTGTTTGGATTTCCAGTTTCTGTCTCTGAGTGAGGCTATGCAGGGAACTGGCTTCATCTATCTCCAGGCCATCAGTTCTCGTTTTAAGTGCTAGCTTTACTTTTCATCTCTCAGTGAGCAGATTTATGCTGAAAAAATTATCAGTTTTTTAAATGAACACTTGGTTCTTTTCTTCACCTTCTGTTGGATCTGTATTTTATTTTTCTGAAGTTTCCTTTGCCTTTCTGGGATTTTAAGTATTCTAAGTAGGAAAATGCATTGCATTGTTATTTTTTTGTTTTATTTCTGTTGATGGTTCATTTCAGGAGGAGGCCGCGGAGGAAAATGATGAGAAATCTAAGAAGGCTGATCATCAGTTTGGAGTCACATGGAGGTATGTTAACACATCGTTAGAACCTTGTAGTATGGTTTTTTATGGTGCTTGGCATGTTCCCGAAGAGGTGCTCCTGAAGTTTTCTAAAATAGAATTTGTTTTTAGCGTACAATACAAATGTGACCTTGGTATTCATATGCGTTTAGAGCTCGTTTCCATAGGATCTTTACTTCCAACCAGCAGTACA